AAGGATTTTGAACAATCAGTGGTTAGAGGGATTAATAGGTACAGAGATTATCAATTACAACTGAACTGGGATCCAGAATCGTAACAGGCTTGTAGTTATTATTGATAATCCCCATTCCTAATAATCCTTTTTCCAACAATCATTCGAAACTCCGTATAATAAATTGTTATGATATTTTATTAGACAATAATCAATATTCAAGTCTGGATAACAACCAAGTATGTTTATTTTTCCTAATGTGGAATATTGTAATGATGTTAGGGTCTGATAAGATTTTAACGAAAATTAGTAATCACTAAAATCCGTAAACTTGTCTCTGTTTCATTGAATGTTAGGACTAGCTAAATTTTTTGTCATTTAGGAGTCAGTCCTATTACGTTCCGGTACTGGTTCGACTACACCGAATATTAGTAACATGTAACAATCTCATAAAATTTATTTTGAATGACTATTTTTTAGACCCATTTGCTAGAAGATGCCAAGCTATTTGCCAAGTGCACAGATATTGCACCTATAAACCAGCCATAGTACTCTAGTAAATGAAGTTTTCCATGCCCTTAGGGACATTTTACGAGCAAGTACCCTATTGAATTTCACCCGACAACCTATTAATATGCTATGCTAGCAGCTTACTAAAAAACATAGCCTGATATCCATAAGAAGCAATATGTTACAGCAAGCGCGTTTTGTCTCACTTGAGACTCGTTAGCACAATGACTCGTCCTATAAACAGTAACTATGGTGACTTAGTGGCCTGGTGGATAATGCTCTGTTAACTGAAGTGGTCAGTCCTTGGTTCGAGTCCCAGTGGGAACAACATCACTCTGTAGTATAAAAATACATCCAGTTGCAGAACCCCAAACTGGGTGAAACGCACATTCTCCATTCCAGTCCTAGTCATTATCCACTAACTCTACCTAGCGTGATTTTCATTTCGCTGGTTATTCGTCAGTCATGGTATAAACTTTCCATGTACATAAATGTATCCATATATGCATTTGTATATTTGTATGCAAACTTTCAGTCTTCCATCACAACTAACCATCTGTTGTGTGCGTAATTCAACTAATGGCTTGTGGAGACTAATAGATTTCGCTAGTGAGGATTTCTAAACTAGAATGAAACTGCTGTCCACTACTTCTGAGATTTCAATGATTTTCTAAACGATGTCAATTCAAGATGAAAGTGGCCTGGATAGTATATACCTGATTTAACCGCGGTCCATAATATCTTAAATATTGTTTTATTTCATATCTATTTGGATTCGATTCTATCTGTTCACGATATTTCAACTGCTCCAACCTTGATTTTTGTAATGCTATACATTGTATATTTTATAGCAATATTCAAAGAGAAATAACTGTGGAGTTTAAGAAGAAGCAACTGAAGATATACCTGCGCTTAAATAATTCCTGTTTTGAATAACAGATGTGCTCTAAACATGCAAAATCTCGTTGATAAATTGGAATGAAAGCAATACTAATTACAACTATGATCATGAATGTGCTTGAATATGCTGAAAATAAGCATTAAGGCATGAAGGATGAAACAGCAACTCAGTGGATAAAGTTGTTTTCTATGAGTTTATTTTATAAGTTAACCAATCACAATTTCAAATGATTCTTTTTTGTATCAAGACACTACTGATAACCGGATTTCAATAGCACTGCATTTCATTATGAAATTTCTAACCAATTGAAAATAATCTGTTAGGCGATTCTGTTATCCAAAGACAACCGTATTAAATACTTCTAGTAAGAACAGAGAGTTTTCGTATTAAACGTTTTAACTAAACACTAGTTATCATCTTTAATTTTACATTACCTTCAGTTTAGTTACGAATAACGGCCAGTCACGACATAACAAGGAAAACTACGTGCTCAAAGAGTAATCATAATGATTGAAAGTCTATTCTCTTTACGGTGATCTTCGAAGATGTTTTCATTGGTGGAATTAACACCCGTATATTTAAAGCACAAATATGGTACAGCATAGACATCGAGGTATATACCTCACAAAATAATATACCGACATTATGAAGATATAACAAGTAAAGATAACTATACAAGCGAAGAGACGCATATAGAAAGCCCTGATTTCCTCCTTAGAATTATTTAAGACTGAACGATAGAGACATGCAACAGCATGACCCTCCCCTTTATGCTAACTACATGATGGTGGCCAACAGTAGAGTCCAGATGTGTTTCGTCTTGTTTGTGACTCATCAGCTCGATGTGCCTCCATCCTAGTGAATGGTGGTGTTCCACTCGAAAATCAAATACATAATCGATTGCTGCAGACGCCAAAGCGTTATCCACTAGGTTACTGAGTCACAGGAACCTCCTCTTGTACAGTGGGTATCATTTATTGTTTACTGTTCCCATTGCCAGCCCCCTGGTATATAACGCTTTAGCGTTTGAAAAGTTGGGTACTGAGCTCAAATCTCAGCTGAAACACCATTATCCGCTTAAATGTAGATGCACCCAGTGAATGAGTCAAATTTAAGACTGAACGTGCACTCTGGGTTTGATTGTTTGCCACCACAAAATAAATATCATTAAAATACGACTTCATGAAGCACTGAGACACTCGCTCAAGAAGCCCATATGCCAGGACGGACCAACTACTTTTGTTTGGTTTAATGACCATTAGGAAACTACAAGCATCAATAAGTAACAAATGTACCCCACTTGTTTTATTTTCATACTATATTTAAAAATGCCTCATCCTAATCAGTTCTTCTATCTGTTTGACAGCATCCAAGTAGTTGTGGTGTCCAAATATATACACATCCAACACGACTATTCCATAGTGTTGCGTTGTAACTGACCGTCTGTCCACTTCCTATAACCAATTTCTGAACTAGCAAAATGTGAAGTCTTCTGAGATGGCATCTATTGATGTGTTCCAGCCAACGGAGCATGTGTTTCAAAATCATCTATTGATTTTCTATCTCCGTTATCATTAAATACATATCATCATATATCTTCTACTGAGACGTCGTGATCAGAAGCAGCAGGCTGTTGAAATAAGGTTAAAAATATCTACAACAGAACTGTAGAGACTAATATAATAATCCATTGAGCAATTACAAAGATATTTTCGGAATAAAATGCACACAATTTACTTAATGTCTTCTCACTAGCCACAAGCAGCCGAAACATTTTTTTGCTCATTTAAAATAAATAAAACTGAAACCAGTGATAAAACAGATGACATGTCACCGCAGCTATGTTGATGACACTTTTGGTGTTTGTAGTAATATGAATCATGCATCCCAGCTGTTTGTGAAGCCAAGTTCATCTCCTGCTAACATCAAGTTTAAAAGTGACCATAAGAATGATAATCAGTTTAGACTTCTAGTCCTTCGTATCCAAGAGATAAATGGTTGAACAATTGAGGAGACTACCTACAGAAAGTAAATATGAACTGGTCAGCATTTGAACTGTCATAGTTTTTTTCGAGGTTACAAACAGAACCTGATCAAGACACTCTTCAATAGAGTAAGAGCAATGTTTTTAGAAAACAAGCTTGATGAAATCACAACCACTGAATATAATTTCAGCGAAAATGGATACCGCCGAGAAATTCATCATGAAATACGAAAAACTGAAGGATTTAAAACGTAAACCCGAAACTGTGGAAAAGAAACTGGTTTTTCAAGTTGATATTCATCATGGACTGACATCAGTAGGAGGAACATTGGAAACCTGGAATCGATGAATAACTGTTTCTTCCTAGTATGGGACTCCTCAGCAGTGCCCATCAATGACTCATCCCGACAGATATCGGACCCAAGACCTTCAGGTTCCGTGGTCAGCATGTTACTATTGAACCACTGTGTCGGAATCCAGTGGTCCGTATTTCTAACTTCTGTCAGTTTATGACATAGCAATGTGATGAAGTATAACTTAAAAAATCATTAAATCCCCACAAACCCCCAAATTAAGCCGGTTTTCATTCATCTAACATTCACAAGTGGCTAAGCGTCAGCATTCAAATGGACATTCCTTGCAGCTACCCCAACCTCACTTCACAAAACCAAAACGTTCATTTAGTCAGTTTAAAGTAGATAACTACCCATTTCAAACTGCATTAGTAAATTAACAAGCAAGTGATTAGGAAACACCGAGATGACAGCCAATAGATTTTCTAAACAAGTCCCTAAATGTTCAAGACTCAAAGAAAAGAAAGTCGATACAAGCGCCAACGCGAACCATCTAATGCATAAAAAACATACATTTGAGGTGGATCACGTCTTTAAAATCACTAGCATACAAGGAATAATCAGTCTGTTTCGTTTTGCAGGAGCAAGTGCAAGTAAACGAAAAATAGTGCGACTGACTTCACACCCTTGTCACTGCGCTTTATTTTTAGTGTGTAATCTTGATTTTATCTTTTTAATATCTTCTTTGTGACTCTCACTTTTTTATGCATATGTGCTTGTTACATAACCCCCCGCCTCTTTTTAAACTTTAGCATCTTTTAATTATATAGTTTATGCAAATAAACCCTCACTTTGATTGTTTTAACGTTATCTTATCTCTGAATCTCCTTGATCTATTTGTATACTGTGAATTTTGAACTTAGTCTTTGCTTGAAATAGTTAAAGTATGCCAAGTTTTAGTTTGTTGGTTGTGACAGATCTTATGATTTTTAGGTGTTCGCAGTTAATAGGAAGTTATGAGCTAGAGGTGTACCCATTCTACGCTAAAAATGTCTTTGGTTTTTGCATTGTTCAAATTTATAGAGGCAAAACCGAGTGTTTTCTAAAAATTACAGTTCTGATAAGGGATAATACTTATATAATTTTCATTTGACGATCTAAGATGCCCCTGGTTTGGCAGACTATTATTGACACTGAGTGATGATTCAAGGTGAAATGAAAATTTAAGCGGTGGGGGATTCGAACCAGTGACGAAATCAAATGCAATTGATATGCACTGCATATACAACGCAATTCCTAAATAGCTTTTACTATATCTTTATCATAAACTTACCTTATTTATTCTGTGTTCAATTTCATTGTATAAACGTTTGCGTAGGTCTGCAGTCTTTTGCACTAACAAACTGTCACAATAACTTTCATATTTTGTCTTCAATTCTTCGTTAAGAATTTTCCTTATATGTGACAACTCAGTTCTTATGAGTTCTATGCTCAACAAATAATCGGCATTTAACTTTTTCATACTCTTGAAAGGTGGGAAAAGATTATAAGAATTAAACGCTGTTATAAATGTTGATAAGTTGATTCGATTGTTTCACTAAGTCAAGAAAATGTGAATTAATGGTAACAGTAAAAGAAAACAGCAAATTATAATTGAAGGTGAATCAGAATGTTATAACAGTAGTTGATATCAGAAAGAAAATGTTTTTGTCGAGCCTCTAGAAAAGCATCGTTTGCTTAGAAAAACTCACTATTAGGAACTGCCCTTACAGACTATTCACGGTCTTTATTACCAACCAAAAGGTAGTGATTTTCAAATGCCATCAAAAAATATACACAACGGAGAAATGTGTCACGAAACACAGTTGTCAGACCATAAATTAAAAAGATATGGCGTAAAGGTTCAAAACGGCAATCAAGTGCCATTTGCAAAACACTAGAGAACATTTCTTGGGTTTAACACTTCACATTTCATCTAGAAAGACTGGTGACCTTTACACCAGGTAGCCATTTCACATATTTAGAAGTAGGCCTAATAATGCTTCGTCCAAACTAACTTGGATTACGAAGCGTAACTGCTCACAAAAGGCCGAATTCCAACGAATTAGTCTAGGTGGCTCATTATCAGAACCTTATGTTTAGATGAAACTCAACTACAACGAGCTTATATTTCACTAGAACTAAAAGGTATCTTACAGAAAAAAATCAACACTTTAATTATTATTAAAGCCGTTTTGGTTAAGCAATAAAGAACAGAAAAATAGACTAGTCTCATAGTATAGTTTCTTGCCAAGTTTCTAAAAACTTACTTCATACAAAACACTTCTCAGTGATTGTTTCTTTGCATAGTCGGAACGGAATAAATACTATTGTTCATTAAATTACTGAAGGTGGCATCTTCCTATCACTTGTAAATTTTATTTATCATGATAAGTTTTCAAGTAAAATAGGAGAGATGACTAAGTAAAAGTAGGAGATCCAGTTCATGTTATTTAGCAGATTCAGCAAGCGAAATCAGAGAAATTCTACCTTAATACTGAGACCACCTGGAAACGCAGAGGCGGATGGATTTATTTTGATTTACCTAACCACTATGATATGATTTAATTATTTCATTACTATCCCATTATATTATGTACAATGATTGTCGAAACAGATAACTTGACAAGTTGTAAGTTCCCATCACAGATTTCACAGCTTTCTAGGTAAACCAAATCAATACTGAGGTGTTTACTCAAAGTGATCAAACAAAGAATATGGATGCAGTGTTTGTCCCAGATGATATCACTAAGGAATCAGCATGATATTGTTGCATTTGGTGCCTGGGTACCATAAAATTAGGCTATTTCAACTGCATTCGGAGTCCAACATCGAATTTTGCACAACGGTTACACAATAAATAAACTAGTTTATCATATTCGATTTCAAAGAAGGTCGTTCACCGAGCAAATGTTTCATCATCATCGCCTGGAATAATGAGTAGTACCAGTTCAAAGTGTTGTAGAAACATAGTATTTCTTAAAAATGGAAAACTCTGGAAGTAATAATATTGTTCCTATGAAGTGTTTGACAAACATATGTCAAGTTATGGCATAACACAGTCAATGGGCTTCTATTAACCAATTTTCGAAGAGAGAATCACGTTTATATTCTAGCTTATCATTCATCCATTGCATAATCTAGATGATTTGAAGGTCCATTTTACTTCAAACTTTAAGGAATTACCAAATTTAGCCTAAAGAACAGTTAAATAGATGTAAAAACCAAAAGTTAGAGATTTGCTTTCTTATACTTAATCGGAACGTTTCTGAAAAAAATTTGAAGTATATTGTTGCACAAGTGACTAATCTTCCTATCATTGTCAATGATTAAAATTACTGATGGCCATCTGAGTTCACACTGTCACTTTAAGGCGATCTGAACACAAATAGCTCCAAAAGTTTATTTACACTACAACTGGGGTCACATATAGTTGTGCTTGTTACACACTACGAAACAACCTGGTGCTTTGTCATTAGCATCTATAACTGAAAGTTAAATATTCAACAACAGAATAGGTCATGGATGAGCACTGATCAGAGATTACATACACGAGACAGTACCGTTTTAGTATTCGTTTATATCCCCCCCCCTGATATTAATATTTGTTGGGAGCTATATTCAGAAAGAAATAAAATACAACTTACTTGTAATTTTAGTTTGAGATTTTCTTTAAGATTGGTAAAATCCGATTCCTTGGTAGAAATTTGACTTCTTAATGACTGCAATTTATTTTCTGACGTTTTTAATAACTTTTGAGACTCTTTCAACTTTGCTCGAATATCTTCATATTTGGAGGCCAGAATCAGTTTCTGTTCATCAAATTGATTTTGTGCTAATTGTAAAATTTGAAATATGCGAATCAATTAAATGGATAACGAATGATTCAAAAACTACACCCCTGATTTCAATATTTCTTGAAACCGTTTGGGTTTTTACCTTTATATGATACTATTATTAAGGTCTGTATGGATAGAATACTATATACTAAGAAACTTACATATAAATAAAAATAATTTTCATCTAAAAGTCTGAATGCATAATGTGGCATGAGTCAAATACAAAAAGTTTGACATAATATGTAATCCGATGTTCTGCAGACATTTTTAGCAAATATTTTCCATTAATGAATCGGAATTCTAAAGTCATCATCCGTAATGATTGTAGGAATTCCCTAGGCTCTACTGTGTAAGATTTAGGTCTGACAAAATGTTGCGTCAAAAAAGTTCATTGAAAGCCCAATCAGACTTAAACTACCAAGATACGAGTTTATCCTGCTGATTAAATAGCTTTGTTTTCATCAAGAAAATAGCAAGTTCCAACCTATCTTCAAATAACAACGTTTAGAAAGCTGAGCAGTATCACTGGCTTTCATATACAAAATGTCTGATTCATAGTCCAGAATATGATTATGGACATTGAGTGTTAATACTTTATCTTGACTTCAAAGATCAACGAAATATGTTTTAGAGCAGCAGTTTAAAGTTTAATGGGCTATTTGCAAAACTTATATTTCAATAATGATGTTTGATGTCTACTCATGTCTCTTTTGGCGTTACGACTTAACAGACCACAAATACTGTTGAGGACTAGATTTGCTCAGTAAATTCCATATATTTGCAACGACTGTATGAATACACACTACAACGGGTAATATCTTCCGATGTTGAAGGGATCATTTAGGCTTTTCAAGACAGAAACCATTAGTTCTCAAATATACAGAATGAAGTACACGACAAAATACTGCTACTTCAGGTCGATGATTTTAGTGGTAAAACATTATCGCTAGAATTTTCAACCTAAGACTATCACAGGCTAATATTCATTTCAAGTGAAATTTATTGTCTTATTTTGAAAATTATGAAAATTGGATCCAAAATAAAATGCATCATCAGAAATTTATTCAATAAAACCTTTATTTACCGATGAGATAATAAACAAACAATAGAAATTACAAATTTCACATCCCACTAAAAATTAAAAATTGCAGAGTAATGCTTCACTGCTGAACAATTATCATCACACAGGATTAAAGTTCCAGGATAGATATAACAGTGACTTTTAACGGAAACTTAAATACTTTTATGAAACTAAATTGGTATTCAGTTGTCATAAAGATACTAAACATAATGTATTGGTTACAGTGAGCTGTAATAAATACAAATGTAAGTGATCCCTGTGCAATAAACCCTCAAACTCTTTTTCTTAAAACTAGACAACAAAAGTACTCACATCCTTTACAAAGATGATTGAAGAATGATATGGGTTACAGTTGAAAAATACGAATTAGCGAATACTGCATTTCAAGTATCCCAGAAACACGTTGACATTTAATCAGGTGATTGTAAAGTCATATTTGACGGAAATCAATAAATTCTAAAAATACTGAAACCCTAGTAAAAGAAGATTTTCTATTCATTCATGTTAAGACAATCGAATTGATGTGTGTTTGTGTATACAGCAGCTTCAGAATATATCACTACCAAATAAACATTTTATTCTCATTGAAGACTATGGAGAACAAAATGGTTACCAATAACATCTGCAAATAATCAAATTAAAGCTGTGCCCGTCACACAATAAACTGGTACCACGACTCAGTGGCCTCATGGATAACACCCTGACGTTTGAAGCTGCCGTTTCAGAGTTTGAGTCTTAGTTGGAAAAACATCCCTGGCTGAGACCCAGGCATATTCAGCTGACGAGTACTGAATAGGAAGAAACGTGTATCCTGGATTTTACTCCTGGTTAATATCTATCATTACGATAACATCAGCATTGACAAACTTCAGTTCAACAATCATAAAATTGATTGAGATACTCCATACTTTATGGTCAGTGAATGTTGTAAGCCTTCCACAAATGAGTACATGTCAATGAATTTTTGGATCAACCAAAAATCGAGTTTTATTAATCTAATTTTCTCATACCCAGAACGGTTACTAAACTCTTAAAAATACTTTTGAAAAAGATTTTGCTGATATGTTCCACATTAAGATAGTAAATATGGTTCTTCTGACATCAGATCTCTAAAATTTGACGAACTATATAAGCGTAGAGCTTGCATAGTGTCCGTACCAATCATCAAAATTTGGCACCGAAGTCAAAGTTCAATTCCCTTTACTGTAAGTTATGCTAATCAGTACTGTATCTGGTCATATATAGTCTATGAAGCTGATTTTTATAGTCCTCTCAAAAACAAATACTGTCTATCCAATCACACAGTGTATTCGTATATCACTAGTTTTGTTCGTAAAAGGATTAACTAAATGCATACTTTTTAACGACAGCCAATGCTTATGACAGTTTGGGTAGCAATACCATGTAACCAACCCTACGCGTGAAAGTACACTTAGTCTACAAGTCCTAGATGTAATCAACCGCAATTTCCGGACTTCTCAATTAACCAACAGAACAACAACAAAATAAAAATGTGACTAATAAATGAGTTAATGAGATTTATCCGGTACAATCGTTGTATGATTGTTATTTTCTCTCCAAAACTGAAATACCCGTCTTAATCTCTTCTTATTATGACGAATGTGTAGACAAATTTCCTTACCATTTTTAGTTTCTAACTGCTCTTTCGTTATCTTCATCTTTTCCAATAATTCATCGCGTTCTTTTCTTAGCTGGAAATACTTATCATTCTCCTAAGAAGTAAAAAAAACTCACTTCTATTAGTAGCTGGAAGGCTTATTTATCCAGCTACTTTCAAAATGAATACATACATTTAACAGCATTAAAATGAGAGCTAACTTGACTTTATAACTGATTTTGACAAAATTACGGTCATAGATTCTTGTTACTCTATTCTGAATAACGGGATTCGATAGCTGTTATTTCTCAATACTAAGCTGCAAATTTCTTTCTGGATATGCTACATACAAAAAGGGAAGGTGCATAACTTAGCTCATGAGGTTTGTGCTTTCTGTTGTCAAACTTGTCTCTCTAGTTACTGGAAATGATACTTTGTTATTTGTGTTTTAGAAAGCTGAGAGATATAGTCACAGATTTATCAGAAAATACACAAATTTGATAGAATATTCCAAAACATTTTGCAGAATCCTTGATAATCTCAAGATTGGAACAAAACGACACCAGAAAACATAGACAAGTGTATAAATTTTTCCAAATACTTTTGATCAATTTAAATCATCCATATTGAAAAGTGTTAATTTGAAGTAGTTTATATACTTTCTGAAAAATGAAGAAAACTGCATTGAAATACAGAACAACATCTTTCAACAAATCATTTAGAAATTGGGATATGCTGAATGTGATATACTTCATATCTCTTCCTACACCTCCTGATCTGAACACAGAAATGAAACTATACATTAGAAACTATGTATATATAAAACATGCAGTTTACATTATGTTGTTCAATTGAAAATTCAGAAACCTCTCGTATTCTAAGGAGCTGTAATAAATCAATGTAGAAGACAGCAACTTCTTCGCAGATGTAAGCACAAAGTGGTTATTAGTCTTGACAGTTAGTGATTTACTCAATACACTAAGTCTCGCAACCAGGAATGAAAGATCATCATACATATAGTAAGTATAGTTTTCAGTTAGTTTTTCAAGCTAATATGTCAACTTCCTTGTCATTTCAACTAAAATACCCTAATTATTTGTTAACTTTATTCCGATTCCATTTATTTTCAATCGTCTGATATTATACTACCTGAAAAAGCTTCCAATAAAAAGTGACAAGGCAGAGAAAAATGAATTCCCAATAAACGCTATCCGAAATTTCCTAGAAAGCAGACAATGATTAAACCCAGCAATACGAGACAAATGTTTGAATCCAGTTACGAATCTGTTCAACACTTTAAATTACAAATCTCTTTTCAAGATTAAATTCATTGCCCGAGGGTTGCATGAAAAGTTTGTCACTATGTTAATCAGCTGCATTCTGAAAGGTCAGTGCTGTAACACAATATTTCTTAAATTCGGGAATGCGAGTAACTATATATTCACTGATTCAATACTTCTTTGGGAACTTTCTGTTCAAAGGAATTATAGGTACCTACCCGAAATCTCCAAAATGTTTAATATGCACACCTATGTAAAGCTCATTACTCGTTACTTTCGCTTCGAAAAATGTTATCTAAGCAATATCAGTTATTGAAGAAAACTATCTTGATATCAAAAGATCCACGAAAAAAATAACTTAAAAATGTGAACTTCACACCGACTTTTAACTGTGTTTCATTCCTTTAGTTCATGCTATCCTAGTGAACATAAAAGTCGGTTTAAAGCCCTGTAAATTCCCTGCATATCATTTTAATATGATAATAATAATAGATTTATTCTAAACAATATGTTCGATACAGTATAGAATTCTTAGCACATAACATTTTAGTATATTCACTGCCAAAATAATATTTCCAACCAAAATGATGAATGCCTCTGAATAACGTTTATAATAACAAAATTAAAGGTGATAACACTAAGCAGCAGATTGGTGTTGGATTAGCGTCCAGTGTTTGATGGTGATTGTTCAGTCAACCAGTAGAAGGGTGTGCTTTTCAAGATAGGCATACGGGCAATAAAAGTAATATGTATATTTGAACCTTCAAAAGTTCATTTCAGTCTAACATGACATTTTTTTTCCTTCGTTTTGTTATCAGTTCGAAAAACGGTTACTTTAAAATTCCATAGAGGTACATCATATGTCTGAAGGACATATGTCAAAGGTTAAAATAAACTAAAAGAGGAGAATATGATATCATGTGTCTGGTGGAAACTTTCATTGGTATGCCGAAGTTCAAGCAGGCCGCACAAAATTTGGTTCAGTCAATTCCAAACAGCGTACAGATCCAACAAGAATCTGCAGTCCATATATCTATTCGTGACACTATATTAATCTGTATAATGGGACATCAATCCATAACTTCCTATCAATTATGAGGTTTGTGTGGATTTAATGATTTCTGGTTGGTATTCATCATGGACTGATATCAGTCAGAGGAGCATTGGATACCTGGGAGCACTGGACAGCTGTTTCGTTCTGGTATTAGACTCCTTAGTAGTGCTTCTCATGGTAGGGAGAAACAGCTGTCCAGTGCTCCCAAGTTTCCAACGTTTCTCCAACTGATGTCAGTTCACGATGTATACTAACCTGAACTCCAATACCCCTGAACCATCCAGAAAAGCATTCTTAAGAAATATGTTACTCACTACTGAATAAGTAGTCAAAAGTGTTGTACTTAATTCTTGAAAAGCTTTGCCGTGTCTCTGGCAACATCGGTAAAGCTTTAAGATTCAGTGGATTTTCATATATTTCGTATTTATTTTGAAGAACATATTCTTCAGTACTCACACTTTGATTCCGGGACTTTTTCCAACTCATTCAAGGAAAATGAAACGTCTAACTGGAAAACTATTCAGAAAACGTGTAAAATCTTACGACATCGTTAGTGGAACGAAGTTGCTTACTAGTGAGTGATATGCGTGTCCAAATCTGCCTGCTTGAAGGTCACTTTATGTGACTGAATGTTGATCAGAACTCATCTTTATGTACTTGACATTACTAGAGACATTCAATGTATCTTCAAATCATTTTCAGTATGTTTTCTTACGAAGTACTTTGTTTGAATTCATTCCAGTTGTCACCTTAAAATTCTGGGTCATATATACAGATAGTTGCATCAAGTTTATATAGGCTGATGACATGGCTGGTCAGCCCCATTGGTCCATTTGACCTGCACGATAGGCTAACATTCGAAGTAAATCCCAGTATGATGGCGAAAAAATGCGGAAAGTTATCAATGACAAGTTGGAATATCCCACACAGATTCAAACACCGAGCTGACAGTTATGTTTATCAGTTGTGTATGCGTCAGGAAATAACGTCCCCCGTTTTTGTCATTATTATGCTATCAACATGAATACGATAAGTTATTGACTGCCACATATATTTTGACGCATGTGATACATGGAAATTTGTGAAACTTTTTCAGTCTCATTTGTCTGCGTGTCTATCTATCTATCTTTTCACCTATCCACATGTTTTTCTGTTCGTAATAAACGCAAACTCAGTCTCGCAAACTCACCGAATAAACTATGCTTTTAGATCAAAAATTTAGGTAGCAGTAACTGGATTACTGAAGAAAGTCTTATTATTGTCAATTCATTTGCGTTTCAACTCCATAAGGTTATCAGTTATTGGTATCACGCCTTTCAAACCTTTGAGTTTCGCCTTTTCTTGATTACATCTGCTCATTATCGTTACCAATTAGGAAGTTCTTTCGACAGCTTTCACTGCCAAATCTCTGACATACACCGTTGCGTAAGATATCTCATTCAATTCACTGGAACTTTCATTCCCATTTTATTTCGCAATGGGTCAATTATATGCCCATAGTCAATATATTACGGTCTTGAGAAAAGATCAACAGTAAAGCAGTGAAATGAAATTTGAAACATGAGCAGAAGCAAATACTAAATTGTCTACCTCTTTTTCTAAAGTTATTAACTTTTCATCTTTTGTGATTAATTCTTTTTTTAAATTCTCTTCAACAATATGCAAGTCTTCAATTTCTTTACGGAGTCTCTCACATTCCAGTTTCGTTTTCTGCTGATAATTTCCGTACTCTGTTTTCAGCTGATATAAAAAATAAGAGATGTTTCCATGAGAAGTTTCCAACTTCACGAAAGGTGTACAATCGAGAAACTGAAAAAAAGTACAGTTAGTGTTGCTAAGACGTCATGCAAAACAAAAAGAAACCAGAGTGTTCAAGATCATTTCAATGAACTATCGAGTTCTATTAGAATGAGAACCTCTTAGAGGAATGCCATCATCCGCTACAGCAGTGCTTTTTGCGGTGTGAGAAGTGACGGCAGTGGTATCAATATCAAGATTGAAAACAAAACTGATCCTTCTGCAACTAAAAGGTATCTAGGACTCTTAGGAATTGTCAATGCAAAGTGAGTTTACAGTCATCAATAATAACTTCAAGAGAGTCCTACTGTATGTAATGGAGAATTAGGTGACCGCTGTAACAACTGAGAAGATGATTCAGACCACCTTTGGGATGAATTTTTGAAACGTTCTTGTAATATATCTCATATCAACAATTTCAAGAAATTGCAGAAAGGAATTACCTTGACATATGTAGACAATCGGATCACGAATGCACACTATTGATGGGTTCCATATTTAATCTCCAAAGCATTGTGCAACAGAAAATGGTCTTATCTGATTTTAAAACCTCTCATAATTGCGCACCCACAACCCACAATTCAATATCTAATAAAGTGCAGGATTATAGAATCTGACAGTCGTTCAGCTACTGGCTGAGAACGCTAAAGTACTCATCTTACCAATCGAGTTAATTCGCAATTAAACACCTATATTATTCGTTGGCAACGGTACGCGTCTGCCAAACTTCGTGGTTTCCTCTCAGGACATCAAGAAATATATTCATAATTCATTCACTGGTGAATATCTAACAAATATTACAAGCAGTTGTTTGCATGGAACCAACTGATTCTATGACAGCTGTTATCACAAAGTAGTGTGATCTGGAAAGCTTCTATGGAGTCCTAAAATAGGATAAGGTAACTCATCATTCAGGCCTTCCAGATTTTCAGTAATGAGTTAACTAAATTCATTCCGTCATGAAAACCACTGACTAACTAAAAACTACTATCCGATTCTCCCCTCATATTTACGCTTTTAAAAGGAGGTGACATAGATATTATAAGCTTTCTTCGAGATGATAGGATACGATTATTCTAATCTAAAAAATGATGCATTCCATTCCAACTTCCTGAAGAGTTCAGACCAACATTCGAATACAAACACTCACATACAAACAAAATAACAGTTACTTGATCATATTTCGACTCTAGACTTTGAATACGATTTTCTAAATTATATTTTATTTCTTCGTTTGACTTGTGCAATTTAGATAATTGATTTTGAAATTCATCTCTTTCTTGGTTTAATCTATCCTGCCAGTGGTTATTTAAATTGTTCTCCGTCGTATTCTTCACATGATTGGTCAGTTCATTTTTCTCTTCATTATTTTTTATCACCAATTGTTCGTAGATATATTGTTGGTTTTTCAAATCATTCAAAAGGTTTTTATTGATTGCCAAAAGTTGGTTCTGTTTTTGAGCTTCTTCATCTTTAACACTTTTAACCATTTCTTGAATTTTATGTTCATACGAATCTGTAAGAACTTTTATTCGACCTGTATTAAGATTTGAAAATTTATTTTAAACAACTGATGGAAATCTTAATGGCTAGAAAATGAAATATCACTCAATATTCACAATGATCAGTACATGCTACTAAATAATTAAACTAGCCTGAAGTAACCTACGCTACTTACGGAATTTACTGGTTTGATAAGAAAACACTAAGAACCAAAGTAGTCACAACCACTTGTTTGTAGATGTTTACCCAGCTGACCTTGATTATTTCAATAAAAAACAGTCATGATTCTCAAAGTAAAACAGTTTAAACACTACAGTTTACCAGTTGTTGATGAATACATATTTTAATCAAGCTTAGTAAACTACGGTAATTTGTTTGGTTGTGGCTAGCAGAAGAATCCAGGACTCGCATTTCGTCCTACTTGGGACTCGTCAGCTGAATATACCTGCACCTCAGTTATGTTATTCACACTGAGACTTGAACCTCGTATCCATCGCTTCAAACGCCAATGCGTCATCCACTATGCTACGGAAGCACGATAGCTACTATTTTATAATAGGTATTAGTTATTACTATTTAGTGAGATACTTGTAATTCTCCGTTGTTTTTATTGAATCAATAAATGGTAGTTAGTAAACTATATTGTGTAAGTCCATGATTTGCAATTCCTACACGCCTTTTGGAGAACAAGACTCTGTGGGAAGTTGTTAGCCAGATATATCAGTGAAGCTGGTTATATATGTTAGGAAACTTTCAAGTAGGGCTACTAACTATTTCAATGAATACATAACTAGAAAACTGAATCTTGAAATTCGAATAGTGGCTGAACAAATACACCAGTTGCAATTGTATTCAAACTATTAGTCTCTATGCTATGTTACCTAACAATGGAGTTTTAAAACTCACTGTTAATAAAGTCTCATTCGCACTTTGATTACTTTAAGTTCTTCTCAGCTTACTTTCAAAACACATTTCACTTCAGTCAGTATGACGTACTCACATTCAACTTCCATTTCTAAAGATGAATATTTTTCTCCTAAGTTTTCCAATTTGGCTTCAAGTTGTAATTTTTCATTTAAAATTGGTTCAACGCTTGGGCATTGATGAGATTTCCATTGCTCAGCCAAATGCTGGACTGAATTTAGTTCCTTGTTATATCTTTCTTGATATTCAACTAAAGTCTGTTGAAGCTTCACGATTTCCTCATCATATTTCACTTTCATCGATTCTTCTTTTAAGTGATGCTCATCGAGAAGCTGGTTGTACTTCTATTGAATCGTAGGAACGCGAATCAAAAAAGTCAAGACAAAATTTGTTAGTCTTCTATGAAACAACAATTATGCCATCATAGCTTTTGCATGCAATATCCTTACAAGTTAAATGTCTCCGTTCTTAAGTCCACGATGAAACTAATTAATTCAGTCACACTGTAAAGATCATTTATGTATGCGGCTACTCGGTCAATACATGTGTAGACTTTAACGCACCTAATTTTATTCACGACTTCTAGGAAAAGAAAGCAGAAATAAGGAGCTGTAGACCACTGAACTTCAACCCAGCAGCTAAATAGCTACGGCTTTTATCACTGCACCTAAAGGTTTTTGTTTCGACCCTTGACAGGATCGAGGATGCGTCCTGCTGAGGAGTCCAAAACTAAGACGAAAGAGCTGTTTATTGATCCAGTGTTCTCAGTGACTCTCTAACTAATGTCATTTTATGATAAATACTACCATGAACTAAAAGAAAGCATCATAAAAACATTACTTACTCCTAGCCCTGAAGGATAATGAAAACTAAATAAGCCAACCCCTGAAGACTCAAAAAAGGAAACACCAAGAGAAATCATGGAATTCATTGGGAATTTTGATCGTTCTTATATCATAATCATGCCGAAAATGAGATAACAATTTATGAATTGCACATTGATGGCATGACAAAAACCTAAACACTATCTCGAAATTATACCTTCAGGCTTTTAGATTTTGAAGTTTTGTTTAAAAACCGACTATTATTTTAACATACGTTTGCTGTGAGCTGCTAAAGCACATTTAAACCATCTGACCTACAAAAGAATTTGAATTGCGAAATGATGAACATCCATGTCTTTTTATAATCGAAGTTGTTCATCATCTATTTATAATTCCAGATACCTGGGCTTAAAAATAGAAACATAGTTTTAACTCGCACAAGAACTAAAATAAAGGTTAATTCCTAATTTTGAAGTTTTCGTCGATACAAATTAGTCTTCTATGCACATTTGGCTAAGACCACGCCTATAAGAAGATCATGAGATCAAACATATAGACTGAATTAACCCATCGAGGTTGAGCAGTAAATTGTGGAAAAAAGTTCAACTGAATACAAAGTAGTAAACTCTACTTAGGTGGGAAAATAGGAAAACGCCTCAACAATGTTGATAAATATTCAAATTCTTCATAGAGTAAGTCTTCAAAAACACATATATTAAGTGGAAGGTATTTGTAACTGGAGTTCCGTTCGCGAAATCGGTGCACTACTCATAGAATAGATTTGACTAGTTATCTGTTCCACATATTTTGAAGATTCTACCGGGCTTTTAAGAAGAATGAGAAGAGATAAGAAACAAAAATACCAAGTTTCAAGTCAGAGACGTGAGCAGTAAGTGGATTTAAAACTCCGTCCAATAAATATATGGCTTTTATAAGGTGACATGTTCAGTTAGAAAAGTTAAAGGATTTCTGCATATACATTCTTGAGCAGTAAAATTATTGAATAAAAATTATCCCTAGTGGTTTCGGTTGTGGCTTGTAGAATTTCAACTTGACTCGCAAGATACAAGGTCTTAAAGTCAGTCTACAGATATCTTTAATGTTAAATGCAGTTTTAAATTTGCAAATATACAAGCACTAGTAATAGCTTCATTTCATAGCCTTCCGGATATTCTCAAACCAGTTATTTTCTTCAATGCACAAACCATCTAAGAAGTAAGATTACGTAGATACTGACGAACATGCTGAGAAAAATCCTGCTGTGAATTACAAAATAGGGATGAAGTACACCATGGATAAGGGTTTTACGTCTAAAAGATGTTTATAGGCATGCAGATAATCTGCTATAGATAACTTTAACTCCAGAATATAGGTTGAACTTTGCACCAACTTAAATCTTTCACCTTTTAAACCTGAGTACAAAAACAGCTTTTGAAATTTGACGTGTAAGAGAATACAGTAAACTCAAAATTACATTGATGAAAGAAATCTTAAAATGTTTAATTTTAGAATCAGCGCCAGTTACACCTTTCCGACTGTAATGCCTATTGACAGAACATGCATGTTATTAAACAATAAATGGATAGTATACCTTACTTCGACAACAGTAGACCTTAACATTCTTACTCTCATATCACCTTTTGTGGACACCGTAAGTAAAACATAAGGTATCTTTGTTGGTGTACCACTAATAGTTTACCTAAAAGTCAAAACAACACCAATCAAACTAATTAGGGAATTCACCCCGTTCCAGCACTAGTGATTCTTTGTACAAGTGCCGAAAAACTGTCAATTAGCTAAGAGAATTAACACGTGAAACAGCATTAAGCTGCATTACTACCGAGTCACACAAAATGTAAAGTTTAAGCAAACTGGCTAGATGAAGTTAGACTTTGTGAATGCTAGGGGCCAATTTAGGCTCACCTTTCCTACTTTATGACAGTGGGCTACTTAAAACGGCCCAGACACTTTTTAAAGTCACAGTTCACACTTTTTGACAGTCAACAGGTAGAACTTTAGATCGGTTTTAAAATAAATAAAATAATGACGGAAGAGATGGAAAATACAGTAGCAATTCATCTGAAAACACTTATACAACAAGAAATCTCTTTTCCTTGATTTTCAACCATCTCAAAATATGTTGCAAGCGTCAAAATTTCATGGTAGTCTACGGAAATTGTAGATTTTCACTAAACTTCTATACACTACGACAAAGAAGGTACACAAACACCTATGTCTCTCAAAATGGTATTACAACTTTGAGTGTGTAGTCAATAATACTGTGACGTATCTTATTGAAAATTTAGTTACTGTGAGTGCGATTTAGACACTTTCAGACATTAACCACTAGTTTGTTAACTTTTTTCAGATCCGTCAGCGTTGCGACCTAGAAAAGATCCACGCTGCCCTCCAGATACTGGTCTCACGTTCGTAGGATCGTGTCAACAAAACATGGTGGGCGGGATGAAAGGCTGGTAAATAAGTGACAAAGTCCCGAAAGGCGTGGATCCTTAACCGTGCACCTCTGGATAAACAAGTTTGTCAAAACTTTGAAGGCCAGCACCAATTTCTGGCATCACTGAACTACGCTTATTGTTTTAAGAAATTTATTTATCACCCTAAAAGTATAATTCCCTGACACCAGTGGTATTTGGCAGACCAAGATAACACACATAGAGAGTTTAAATTGAACGTAGTTGAAACAAAAAGCTTGTAACGATAGTGACGAAAAATGCTATCCTACTAAACATCACCGACAAAGAACTCTCAGCAGATATACCCAATGTATATCAAAATACTATATACTGACAAATATACATTTTATAACGCAAGATTAAGTGGAAAACAAACCATCTCAAAAATTAGTTCCCTACCCCTAAAAAAGGACCACATTTACATATCCCTTGTGAGTCGCTTCTACAGTGTAATCAGACTTTTAAACCCTACTCACAGATTCTATGTCTATTATCTTTAAATCCTTTTCTTCGACACACTTTTCCAAACGTGACATCGTACTGCTGATGCTTCTCTCCTTTTCCAGACTTGCTTCCAGGTCTCTTATCTTTGAGTTGTAGGAATTTTTTAATTCATTAATTTCAAACTCATGCAGCTTAGATTTCTGTTTTAGTAAGTCAACTGAATCTTCACTGCGTGAATTTAGCATGCAAATAACTTTTGTCAGCTGGGCTATTTTTTTCGACATTTTGTAATGAATATCTTGATCATGCCCCATAGCACTATTTGTCATATACGAATTGCAGTCAAAAGAGTATGCAGGCATAATTCCGGTTAGTAAAGTTTGATGATCAAACTATGAAAAGCGTCACTGTGGTTATGAACCTAGAAAGTCAACACACTTAAACATAAAGGTTACCCAATGAAAGCTGATATTTGAACTTTCGAGAACATAAAGGTTATTCTACTCTTATTTCTGGTTCAAATCCTTTCCATATCTTAAGTCATCAAGATATTAACAGCTTCTATATCTGGATGAACAAGATAACAGATATCGAAGAAAAATAGAGGTTGCGAGTTAGCCTTCTCACCCGACCCCTCCTCCACACACACACACATACGCATCGAGTCATTAGGTTGACGAAGTCATCCTTACCGATGATGCCTCATCACCTCAGCATGAACTGGATTCACAGGTCCAATCTTTTTTGAAGACATTAATAGTAGTGTATAATGCTTTGCCTAAAAGTCCCAGCTCACCTGTAATCGATGTAGGAAGGGTTAAATAGCATTATTCTGCCTTAATATAGATCGATAACGAAAACTTCTTATCATCTTAAGAGCTGTATCTTAAATCTTGCTTGAGAGCGTTTGTCAGATATGTTCAGACTCAGCGATGTCATAGTTTAGGTGTGGACAGGTAGATGCATTGTATTCCATCTGCGAACTATTCCTCAAAATCGGCAACACAGGGCTTGTTTACAATCAGCCTTGATGCCGACCCTCATAGCTTCAATGAACCAGCTAAGCTAAGGCCACACGGTCAAGCATCTACCCCATATGATACGTCGTGTTACGTTAAGTTGCTTGTACATGATCCTCTAGCCAGTTATTCGAAACACACTGGTATTTCAGCACGGTCCATCAGCTACAATACCCCCACGTGGATTCCCTATTGTATTCTTCCTTAGTCTTGCACTCAAGGGTATCATACAAGTATAAAGAGTTAGTGGTTGGTCTCCGTGTCCGTCAAATTTGCGTTAGGACAGTTTCTAAGGTACGTTATTTTGTTGTCAATGGTCAATCCGCTAAACTCTGAAGAGTACTCACCTAGCAGACAGTTTTCATTGTCTGTATGGGATATGTGTGTAAATAAAGTCCTAGAGACTGTCATATTCTAACCATCTTTCTCTCCTCCAAGTTTCCATACTTCCGATGGTGTAATCTCTGGCCATAGGCGCCTAACGCCTATCAGTTTCTTTATTTCTGTTGAATTCCATGCGGGTTTTTGATAACCACTCAACTGTTGTCATCGCTTTAGCCCGTAGTGTGGGTCACTTGGACTACTGATAATCATTATCGTAGATGGATCGTAGATCAGAGAAGAGGGTTAGATCTCTTTCGTATTGTTGCGTATAGACCAGGTGCTATTCAGGAAAAACGAGTGAGTGAATGGTACAAAGGTGTTTGAGCTTAACCAGAAAAAACACTTCTGAACATGCTTTGTGGATCCTTTGCCTATGCCTCGATAGCAGAGACACTACAATCTGTCGGATCTCCGCTAGTGTGGTGGGACGATGCGGTACTAGTTACCTCGAAGAAAGCGAAGTGTCTACTACACCATGATTGGTACAGGCACCAATGGTGAACGCTGCCAGCACACGATCCAAGAGCACTTGTAAGAACAGGACGTTACGGACTGAGAAGGCCCTTGGAGGGCCTGGTTCACTGGTTTCCTGGTCTAAGTATTCAAAAGAAGCTCTGGGGCAGGCAGCACTCTTACAAATAATTGGTCACCCTGTGTTCTAAGATCTTTCTGAAGTATATCTGTGCTGTATTACGCTTCACCGACAACTAACTGCCACAAGCAAGACAGCAGGCCTGAATTATTTCTTGCATTATTCTCCGGCGAAAAGTTCATCAGGTTATATCCTTGAACGAACTAAATGCGGACCAGTTGTCTTTAGGACCAATGTCTCAATCATAAGGATATTGGCTACTACGACGCTCAATAATATGAGGTTTTCGCCGTGTGGAGAGCTGGTAGTTCCGTATATCAAATAATTATTTTATTTAATAAGCTGGTGACGTCTCAACACATAACCCTCGCCACGGAAATCTGTTGAATTAATTCCTTAGGTGTCCTCTTTGCACTCAGATATTTCTAGGTTGATGTGACCGTCGATTCTGACACCTACGGCGAAATTTTTTCAGTGTACCGTCATTAAATTCTTGATAGTATTGCTGATGAAGGTAAAATTTCTTGTCAGCTTGCCCGAGGCTCTCAGCGGTAAGATTCTCATGCATGTAGTGGTCCCTGCGAGGGCTGAGAGTGCTCATAATTGATAAATATGTGTGAAAGTATGATCTTGTGCGACAGATCCTGGCTTACAGGGGTCACCAGACTGATATAAGCTGAAATAATATCAAGTTTGTGCTTCTTCTAGTTACTTACACTGAATAGTCTTCTTCATGAAATTGCAGCCATTGTAGTAGAACATATATGTATGTGCGTGCCAACCAGTGATTGAATATGTGGGGGTCCTCCAGCCTCTGCTTATCAAAGGAAGGGGTGATTCCTTTGAATAACAACCACTTGTAGAACACAAGGGCTGTGTTTTTCCGCAGTGCCTGTAAAGTGGGCAAAAGGAAGTCAAAATAGTTGGCTAGCCTAGTAAGTGTTGTAAAACATTGTTTAGTCACAGATTCCTGTCACTAGTAGTCTGTTCCCAGCGTCATCAACTTCAAAGAATGCATCTGAGCACCCCAAGAATAGACAAATGTCGATACGGTGACAGGGCCAAGTGAGTGAAAGAGCCGGTGGCTCCCGCTCATTAGGCAATAAATTTCTTGGTGGAACAAATATATTTCCTCGAAAGATACGAGGCTTTTGGAAATAGGTGGCACACAGTCCTCATTTGAGTCCTGAGGATGTCGATGAAACTTCGGTCGCATGACATGGATTTTTGAAGACTTCAATTTTATATTTTGTTCATCTGATGTTCAGATTTTCAAGTAGGTGGGATAATATTCTTCACAGTTCATTTTCTTCAAAAACTATCGATACCTCCTTATCGCCACTATTTGAAGCTTTGGAATGGAAAAACGACCGAAATAGGTGTGGCTTCTCCACCCTTATGGTGGGAAATTGTTTACATATTACAAGGCCCCATTGTATCCATAATTTCTGGAACGGTATCGCGGATAATTTTTATAACACAGTCGGGTAATGTAGAGTTTAGGTGTTTTACAAACTTAGCTAAAGTGTTTGATTCACGCTTTCCTGCACATAAACTTTTCACTATCTGGGCTTACCTCAAGATGAAGTCACGTCTAGTAACTGTTTTGAAATGCCCAATTTCTACTACTGCTGTCTTGTCTCTTAAGCCATAGGCAGCTTTATTTATGAACTGCAAGCCTGTGTACATACTGCCAGTCATTCTGTTTAGAATCTAGCAAAACAGCACCAAGTTGAGTCTCAGCCTACGTTTCCACAGAGGCTGAAGTCCTAGGATGTTGCATCTGGTTGCCTATCTTACGTCGTAATTCATGCTAAGTGTTCTCATTGTTAACCACCTCTGCACTCTTCTCATTTTCAGTTTATCCACAACCCTCATACTGCCATAGATAAATGAGCGGTATTCAAGCAAGGGTTGGATACATACTGTATACACGATAACTGTGGATTAGTCACTGTAAAAGTTCTGTGTTAAGAAATCTAAAAGTTTGTGTGATTTTGACACCTGTTTGAACATGTGCTGGGAGAAAGATAGGTTGTAGGAGCATCACATCCCCAGACCTAGCGCAGACCAGTTTTGTGAGGTCATATCCAGTCATCGTTAAATTTAGTTCTGGAACACAGTCATCTAATCGTGACCAACCGAATATTTTACGTTAAAGTCGAGTGGCCAGGTACCGCACTACATACCATCTCAGTTCTGCTTGAACAGAGGCAGTGATCAGGGTGAGGCCACTTCTGCAGCCTGCGTCTACTACCTTCAGGTCATCTGCATATAAAAACGGTTTAACTGGCTCGAAACATTCACATATACCTATGATGTATATTATGAAGTCAAGTGGACCGAAGAAACTGCACTGGACAACTCAACAGTCATTGAATTAGGCTTTGAGACAGTTGAGCCGACTTTGTTACTTGATTACAGCTATACAGAAAGGATTCTGACCAGTCCAAGCGTGGATTATAGGTTCCAAGGGGACTTAGCCCATCAATAATAAACAAGTTGCGTGAGACTCTGTCAAAGGGTTTAGTGACGGTGAAGTAGGGTATTATCACCAGCTTTTTGTGATGCCTTTTGTAGGTGATCTTTTTAATATGGTCGGAGAGGCTTGTGGCGCGTGAATTTGTCTTCAGATGGACATGTTATAAGGATTTGATGTGGCCAAACTCTCGTAGGTAGGCTGAAATTTGGTTTTTGTTTGCATTCTTCGTGATCCACAAAATAACCGGGGTTATAGCAGTCGATCTGTAATTACCGGCGTCAGCCTTGACTCCAAACTTATGTCCTGGCGAGACAGTTTCCAGGATCTAATGAGGGGGTAAATGTTTTACGTTATGTAACTGCCACATCTGGGCACACCGTTTTGCAAATTATCGATAATACCCCATCCTTCCCACAGCTGCCACTTGCTTTTAACATTCTAATTGCGACGCTGAAGTCAAACACATTAAACTTCATACAACCCATCATACTGCTACGTGTACTAACCATCTCGATGTCCGCAGCTAGAGGCATGTCGGCATTATTAAGAAACCGCTCACTGAGTATTTCACAAGTTACCCGAGGATAAGTTATATGTCCGTGCTCTAAATGGTTCACTGGACGGTCATTTTTATTTTTGTCCCACTTCCGCATGATACCGTAAATGGTTTTGCGCTTTGGACGAGCTATCAAGCGCTCTGCGACCAGTGTCTTTATTCTGTCATTCTTGAAGTGAAAAGAATGCTGTAGGTATCCAATTTAGGTCATTAAAACCCCTCAAAACAAATTGTTTTTCCTTAATTCCCGCGGTTTACGTCAAGTTTTTCTGTGAATGAACAATGTCGCCTTAAGGTTGACTTTGGTGGGCACGATCGCTTCCTGAAAGGAACCAATAATCACTTCAAGTTCGTCTAAGTTTTGACGTAGATGACCACTAGCGAAGAAATCTGTCTGA